TTACATGTTTGGTTCTTAGCTGAATGGTGGTCTACATATGGAGAAAGCTGCTTGAACCTCTCACGTTTTGCGATCCGCATTCTTAGTCAGACGTGCAGTTCATCAGTTGGCTGCATGAGAAACCAGATACCGGGGGAACAAATATACCAGTCAAAGAACTCCATTGAGCAAAAGCGGCTCAGCGATCTTGTATTTGTTCAGTACAACATGCGTCTCAGACAACTGTAAGTCTTCCCCTTCTCAGCCAAAACGCTTGTTTACACAGAGAGTAAAAAATGATAGAACTAACGATTATCTGTCTCCTCTAGGGATTCTGAAAGCGGGAATGACACATTAGACCCGTTATCACACAACAGGATGGATGTTCTTAAAGACTGGGTTTCCGGAGACCAAGCTTGCGTAGAAGGAAATGGAAGCTCGGACTGGAAGTCGCTCGAGTATATTAAAAGGACACAAACAGTACAGATCATCGATGAAACCGAAGACTTGGGTTCAGGTAAAAAGATTCAGCATCTTCACACAATCTGTTTTTTTTTTTGAAGATTTGTGAAATTTAGAGTTAAAATTTTGTTTTGAAATCAACATGTACAGGATTCAGTGACATCGAGATATTCAAGGGAGAAAAAGAAGTGAGCGACGAGGGTTATTACACAAACACATCGCAGAAGATATTCACTTGACCTCACTCCGATTTATTATGGTTGGCTTTGAGACAGACAAAGTTTCTAGCTTACAAAAACTGTTTGTAGTCATAGATTGTGATTTGTAATTTTTAGAGTCTTAATTAACCCATTAGATGTTTTCTTTTGACAAAAAGTTTCAGTATTCTTCTTCTTACTCCATTATGCATTCTGTCCTAATATTATTAGGTTTCATCTAGTTTGGTTTGGGTGTCATAATGCCTAATTTCATAATAATTCCTAATATTATGAAATTAGGCATTATGCATTGTCCTAAAATTCTGTCCTAATATTGGGTTTCATCTAGGTTTTGGGTTCTGTCCAGGATTTTATTTTGTTCGAGAAATACCTTCAGTGTTGTTATAAATCCATATGCCTAATTTTTCTTTATATTTGATGGATTTGTTGGAACATTTGAATAACAAACAGTCTATGTGACGCACAATACTACTTAATTTTTAACAAGTTGAGATTATTAATTTTTAACAATACTACTTAATTTCAGAGTGTTGGCGACTGTTCTTGAGGATATCTGAAGTTGAATAGGACTTCATTTTTTCCGTTTTTTGAAAAATTTGGCTGCCATTGAAGGGTAGTTGAGATTACTCGCATGGAGCTTAGCAAGTGAAAGATATGAGTGATTGGTAGTTAGTATCATCTAAATTGGTTATAGAGAGAAGGAAAACCATGATAGTCAAAACCAGATGGTCTAAAGATGGCTTCATAGACTCCATTATAGACACACTAATGATCTTTACATCCATTAAGCCGAGAAAACTCTATTTTTGTCGCAATTCACTAATTTACAACTCATATATAAACTAGATAGAATCATTAAAAGAAAGATCCTTATTTAGTCGCGTAAAAATTTTCCAATGATATATTTTGTTTCTCTAAAGGTCAGAGTTTTACTAAGAAGTCATAACTAGGTGAATATCCGCGCTGCGCCACGATAAATGTTCTCTGCTTGTATACATAATACACTATTCAAAACCTCAAATAAACAACGTTTCCTGCTTGTATACAATACATTATTTGAAATCTCAAACAAAGAGAAACAATGGAAACAACTTTTGACATACATATGTAATGTTAATGGTGATCATAATTACTTGCAAAACTTCTTGTGCTTACTCGTCACCTTTTTAGCTAGTGAGTAGTGACCACAAAACTTTGGCGTTTAAAATTTGAGCACAAAGGCCCATAGTGATCATACATAAGGCCCGGCCCATTCATAAACAATCGCAACAATCGGAGAAAAGAGAGAGTGAGAGAGTCGCCAAAGGTTAAAAGACGATAAGTCCATCGGAAATCGGCGGCGACATGGCTTCTTCGGCGACTATCAGATCTGAGATTTACGACAGAGAAGAGCGGAAACAGTTAATCTTCGTTCTGTTTCTTCTTTCTTTTTCGTTGTGTTCGAATCCGTCAGATTCTGTGTTACTTTCTCT